AACTTCCCATCACTAATCCCCCCCTTAGACTAGGGGTACCAGCTTGGTCTAGGCTGGTCAAGGCCCAGGTATTTATTCCTAGAGTTTTAATTCTCTGAGCCTTCCTTTGCCTTGTAATCTCAATCACCTTGTGTTTGTGAGCAGGTAAACCTATTCTTATGGGGACACAATGTCCCCATAACGTAATAAATATCCATTTTTTTTCCCGTTATGGGGACTGTTTTTTTCCTTTTATAAAAGCCGGTGACTGCTATGAAAAAATTAAAAATGCAAAAACTCATATTTTTTTTTGGTTACTTGTGGTTATGGTTATTGCTGGGTGGGGGTTAATGTTGCCATAGTTAGCATTAGCATGTAAATAAGGATAGCTATACCCAACTGTGCGCGTGTGTGTGTGTGTTATATGTGAGGTCCGTCACTGGCTTAAACGTTGTTAAGGGGGCATGACTATGACATTTTCTGTCATTACGTTTACCAGTGTGTGTGTGTCTGTGTCTTAAAATGTTTTCTTTTCCAGACTAAATAGCTGCAATCTCACAGAGACATGCTATGAAGCGTTGGCTTTAACTCTCAAATCAAACTCTCACCTGAGAGAGCTAGACCTGAGTGACAATGACCTGCAGGATTCAGGAGTGAAGCTGCTCTTTGCGGAACTGGAGAATCCACACTGTACACTGGAAATACTGAGGTCAGTCCTATATGACAGGTGAAATACTAATCTAGTATCTGTTAGATATTTGGAATGCAAATTAAACCACAGACTATGGGTATTTGATAGTACAACTTGAATGCCCCCCAACATGTACACACAAAGCAGGAGAGTCTAGGGGAAAGGCTGAAGGATAAGCCATATGGGGAGTTTATTTACTGTGAGTTAAGCTCCTGTTTAGGTCTCTTTTATTTAGGCCTCAAATATTTGTAGACCCTCACATGTATTTAGTGCCTCAACCCATAATGCAGCTGATGGAGAATACAAATTGGCAAGGCATGAACTGTTTCTATTTCTGTACCCTTCACAGTTTCATAGCAGAGGAACATAAATCACATTTACTTAGGTGAAATTACAATATTTGTTTATTTTAGGTAGCTACTGCATGAGCATCTTCTTGTGTCATATCAGCTACCTGTCAGTTATGAGAGATGAATTATTCCTGTAATCAGCTCTCATTGCACTGTACAGATCTCTGTGGACCACACACACGCAGTGTGTAAAATGTTTTATATAATATATTTTCTGAAGTGGGATTCCTACTAGTTCTATTGCATACATTAGTCGTGTTCCAGTTATGTTTTACCTTCATAATTTGTACTAGCTCTGCATTGG